CGACGCTAGCTGTGACTCGACGCTGGCTGCTGCGTCTGCCAGCATTCGCTTCTGCTCAAAAAATGAGTGGCTGCTGTTAATTTTTAATAGTTTTTTTTTCAGTGTGTGTGTGGCGGTCGGTGGTGGTGGATCTGTGTGTGGGGGCAGATCGTCGGTGGCAGCATCTTCTCGGAAAATGAGTGGGCCTCCGTTTGTAAAGTGGGTGTGGCTCGGTGGTATTTTGGTTTTTTTTTTAGTGGTGCGGTGGCGTAGTAGTTGGTGTGTGGTGGAGGTGATGCGGGTCTTCGATGTGGCGGTTTGTGGGTGCGGTGGATCTGGTGGCGGCGACGGGGCTGTGGTGGTGTGAATGTATGTGACCTAGCGTTTTTTGGTGTCTGTGACCTAGATATTGAACTGTGGTTGTCTTTTTTTGTGTCTGTGACCTAGGTGGTCGTCCGTGACTCACTCTGAAACAGAGTTGTGACATGTAAAAATTACCATTTTTTTCAACCTGTGATCTAGGTGGGTGTCTGTGACCTCGAAATTGTGATTGTGAGTCACTGAAATTGATAATTTGTAACTTAAAACAGGAATCTGTGACCTTAATTTTTTTCATCTGTGACCTCGAAATAATCTGTGACCTATAAAATTTTAAATCTGTGACCTCGAAATAATCTGCGATCTACAATTTTTTTTATATGTGACCTCGAAATAACCCGTGACCTACAAATTTCTTGTTCTGTGACCTCGAAAAAGTCGCCGGATCGAAGCAGTCGCCGGTCGCCGGATCGGAGCAGTCGCCGATCGTCGGAGTAGTAACCGGAGCAATGGCGGTGGTGTTGGTGGGGTGAGGTGGGTTGATTTTATTATATTACAGTTAAATATTTAATTTAATATAATAATTAAGAAATATAATTAATTAATTAAAAACAAAAACCTGATTTTTACAATTTTAAACTTGAGGACCTGATTTTTAAATTTGGTTAAGTAAATGCCTGATGCATAAACTTTTCCCACTTTTAAATGCTCAAAAGTTGTGAATTTTACGCGTTGATAATAAATCGATAGTAAGTTGTAAGTCCTATAAAATGATTATATGCAATAATAATTTCACAACAAAGAGATAACGATAATCAATTGAGGGTATGTTGGGTATATTGATAACATTTTATTTTTATTTTTCTTTCATCGCGCGCACTAGAATGTTTTAAATGTATTTTTGTTGTTTATTTATATAATTGAGGTGATTTATATATTCTTTGACCATGCATTCTCCTGAAAATCGCTATTTCAAATCTCGAGAGGTTGTATCGTATAACTTAAAAAGAAAAATAACTATCTAGTAACCTATGCCTAATGCATAAATTTGACTTCTACATACCTAAATTTGTCATTCTCAATAGTATCCTGAAATTCTAAACCAGCATGAAATTAATTTTTTCCATTATATTTATATTGCATTAAATGTAAGTTTATAAAATCTCTTATTTTTGCAGATACTGTGGAAGCAAATAATTAACCATTCGTTACGGTTACGGATCCTATAAGTTGCAATCTCGAGACATTTCACGTTTTTTGACTTTTAAGTTCCAACTTTAGCAAGCAAGCAATGTAATTAATTAATTATTATTATTATTATTGCTGTTGGACTCATTATTGATCGAGTAATTAATTTTTTATAAATTAAAAAATAAGGGAAAACGAGATCCAATGTTTATTTCCACGAATTATTCCTTAATTTACTTATCTTTTAATTCGCTTTAATTGAAATAACTTGTTTAGCGATATTATGATGCTAATCACGTATTTTTAAATGTTCTTGAATAAACCATTGTTTGAGCCTCATTTTTGACAAAAATAAATAAATAATAATAATAATAATAATAATAATAATAATAATGTATTTTTGAATAGTATTCTGTTCAAGAATGAATAGTTAAAAAGTAAGTAGGATTTTTTGTTTACGCGTAATATTATTTTATTGAAAAATATGCAGTTGAAAATGAGTTTTTAAAAAAGTGAATTTTTTGGAAAAATGGGGGACAAACATGGTGTAAGTTGATACCGAATTTTCAAGCTTAAAATAGAAGAAAATATGCATAATAAAGAAGAGCTTGAACTAAATGGCAGACACAAGTTGACATTACTAGGTGGAAAAGTTACATAAACAAGGCAAAATCTTAACATAAATTATGAGTTTGTTCTATTTTGAGAAGATGAGAAGCTAAAATTTATATTTGATAAATGGTTTTTTACTATTTAAACCCCTGTTTGGTACCTATTAAAATTTTCATTTTCATTTTCATTTTTCTACTCATTTTCAACCACATATTTTTCAATAAAATAATATTTTCCATCACATAAATAACTTTTCCTTCTTTTTCAACCACAAATTCTCCATCAATCCACTATTCCAGAATACATTCTTCCAAAATAATGTGGCTCAAACACACCCCTAGAATCTTCTAGCACCGCCTCTTTTCCTTCTTTTTAAACCACAAATTCTCTATCAATCTACTATTTCGAATACATTCTTCCAAAATAATGTGGCTCAAATACACCCTAAGACTCAAAAGTTATCGAGTATATGTTTGGTTTTGACTTGGGCATTACGTATTTTACTATTTTTAATATTTCCTCTTTAACCTTGAGTACGATGTAAAATATCACGTTATAATATAGACAAGCTATTAATGCATGCTACTTGTGTAGGATTGAACTGTACACGCACGTGCTTGTTTGATGATGTTTTTAAATACTTATAAGTTGTAAATTCTACGGGAATATATGAATAAAATGTGAATCATAAGTTGTAGCTCCTTTAAATGTGTGGAAAAAAACTACATTTGATCATCTTAATTAAAATGTAATATTAGCTTTGCCAAACACAAGATTTTAGGATTTTTACTTCATTAATACAATTTATAGTTTTCCAATTCACACACACATGCAATAATAGATTGGATTACTAAACAATAAAATAAAATAAAAATTCACTGGTTGAATCAGATACATAATTGAATTAAAATTTAAGTCAAAGTCAATAATTATTTGTAACTACACATTTATGAGATCCACAATTTTTCAATCACAAATTCCATTAATTTTTGTTAAAATATATTAAAATCTGATTTTGATCTAAACCAAACAAGGACTTTATCTTCTTTTACACCCTGAGTGCCACTAAGTCCCTGTTTGGTCCATATTCTTTTAAAATTCATTCTTTTAAAATTTATTTTCAACTACACATTTTTTAATAAAATAATATTTTTCATCACATCCAAAATTTTTCCTTAATTTTTACCCACATATTTTCAATCACAACACTATTTAAAATACATTATTCCATCAATAACGTGCATCAAACACCCCCTAAAAGAGCTACCAGTATATTAGCAAAGTTCAAGAATGCATGCAGCCTTCATTTGGTAAATTTATAAAGATGAATAGTAAAAAAAAAAAAAGTAGTGGATCTCATAAAATGAGTGAATAATAATAAGTAAGAATTATGAAAGTGTGATTATTAATGTCTAATTTTGATTGAATTTATAAGGTATTTATAAATGGGTGGTCAAAATGGTTTCATTAGCAACCTAATGAGTACAGTGCAAGGGGAAATTTTATATGTATATAATTTCGTTGGATCATGAGCCGTAAGTTGGCTAAGAATGATCAGAAATCTTCAACTGCAAGAAAGCTCTGAAAAGATCCCAATAAAGTTCTTTCGGTCAGTTCTTTTAGCACACTAATAAGAATAGTTCTGATCTACAGCAAAGAATAACTTGAACTCAAGTAATGAATCCTGCATCGTGATTCACTGAATCAAACCCCATCTTCTTCTTCTTCTTCCATTTGCAGACTGAAAACTTTTCTTGGAAATTAATATGTGGCTTCCCAAAAAACAGCCTTCAAATTTGATTTTCATATTTCTTACACCTTTGGTTCTGATTTCAGTGATTGCTTGCATTGTATTGCAGGCTCCTGAACTGATTGCTTCTCCTTCGTCACTTTCTTGGAAATCTGTTGGTTTCTTTAGGTCATATTCTTTGATTTCCTTCAAAGGAAACCGTAATGGAATTTTCAATTTAGTTGGACAGGTTGAAACTTCATCTAATGAGGGTTCATTACATCAAAAGCTGGTGGCAAATGAAAGAACTGATAATAATCAGTCTTCTCCATTTGTAAGAATTCTTTGCCCTTTTCGGGCGTTTAATGTTTTTATCTCCTTAAACTTTTAGATTACGTGGTTCAACATGCTCTCTTAATTATGTTCGAGTGTCACATCCCTCAATTAAAAACTTGCGACGTTTGGTGACAAATGAATTCACCTTAGGGCTTAAGTTTTTAAATAACGTGGTTCAATGGATTGTCTAACCTAAAACGAACACAATTTTCTGGTTTGAAGGAAAAGAAAAGGGAGGAAGTAGTGATCAAGAAGTACAGCAGGATAGAGAGGCTTGAAGCCATTTTGGCCAAAGCTAGATCTTCTATTCAAGAAGCTGCTCGAAATAAAAGCTTGATTTCGAACCATGAAGATCCTGACTATGTTCCACAAGGGCCTGTCTACAGGAATGCCAACGCATTTCATAGGTATCAAGTTATTTTTCTTCATTACAATCGATACACATACTAAGTCTTTGATGGTATAAAATAAATCCGACCGGCACTTGAGACAGCTCGATATAGACTGTTTAAATAAATATTTGTGTTCCCTCTCTAATAGCTTATAGTTTTAGAGATGGTACACCTTTAATTATTTACATCGTCTTTAATATGCCTCTCGCATGCATGCTAGATGCATGGATACTTCGATATAGTTTCCAAACACAATGGAATCATCTTGAGTTTGTCGAGATGTTAAAAATACGATAACATTTCTTTATTCTCTCTAATATTATGATGTTTGATCTCCTTCCATATAATCGATCGTGTCATTCGTAGCCCCTATAAAATATGATCTTTCTCTTGACAATTCATAGAGAAAAAATTATACAAATTCTTATTCATAAATCAAATATTTTGCTTAACAGGAGCTATCTCGAAATGGAGAGGTTGTTCAAAATATATGTATACGAAGAAGGCGAACCACCGATATTCCACGATGGCCCATGCAGAAGTATATATTCAACAGAAGGAAGATTGATCCATGAATTGGAAAGGGGAAATTTTTATAGAACAAAAGATCCAGATGAAGCCCTTGTCTATTTTCTTCCTTTCAGTGTGGTAGTAATGGTTAAATATCTGTATGAACCTGGTTCTCATAATATGCATGCTATTGGACGCACTGTTGCTGATTATATAGATACAGTTTCTGGTAAATATCCCTTCTGGAATAGAACTCTAGGAGCTGATCACTTCATGCTCTCTTGCCATGATTGGGTAAGTGAAAATATATAGGATTAATATCTTAAATATGTGTATAAAAGTTACCTTCAGGGAAAATTTCTCTTTTAAACTTGCTTATATAAGTTATAAAGATTTTACGTTTGGGAAAAGGATTCAACTTTGACAAATAAAAAATTCTTTTAAAATTCTTTTAAGTTTATGACTAAACTTATAATTAACCAAAATGCTTTTGTAGAATACCACGAAACTCCTCAACTAGCAAAACCCTAGATATAAATTGAATTCGACCGAGTTTTAATAGATTTTTTTGTTTTTCATATACCTTAGAGAAACCATACTTGTGCATCTGCAACGACCGCCTGCCTCGAGTCGGTAGCTTGTCAGTTGTCACGTCCCTCGAAGCAAAGCCCTAAATACTTGCTTGAGCCCCATTTTGGGGGAAAAATGTGTTTTGAAATAGTAATTTTTTGAGAACATGTGGTTAAAAAGTAAAAAAAAAAAGGTTTTCGATTTATGTGTAAAATTATTTTATTGAAAAATGAGTTTTTGATAAAAATGAGGCTTGAATAAGGGCTAAGAATGCATAAAACTCACATAAAATCAACCTCTCATTCCCTTTCTAATACTAGCAAAACTCTTAAATTGAAAAGGTGAATGAAATTCATAACTTGTCAACATTTCAGGGTCCTCGTTCAACATCTTATGTACCACAATTATACAACAATTCCATCAGAGTTCTATGCAATGCAAACACTTCTGAAGGATTCAATCCTCTCAAAGATGTATCATTACCAGAAGTCAATCTCAAGACTGGAGAATTAACTGGCCTTATAGGTGGATCCTCCCCCTCAGAAAGATCAATATTAGCCTTCTTTGCAGGCCATTTACATGGAGACATAAGGTATCTCCTATTACAGCAGTGGAAAGAAAAAGATCAAGATGTACAAGTCTATGAAGAAGTTCCAAAAAATGTTTCTTATGAATCAATGCTAAAAAAGAGCAAGTTCTGTCTTTGTCCGAGTGGGTACGAGGTAGCAAGTCCTAGAGTAGTCGAGGCGATTTACGCAGAATGTGTCCCAGTTTTGATATCTGATGGCTATGTGCCCCCGATGAGTGATGTTCTTAACTGGGAGACATTTTCAGTTTTTGTGGAGGTTAAGGATATACCTAATCTCAAGAAAATATTGATGGATATATCTCAGGAACAGTATTTGAGAATGTATGAGAGGGTGAAGCAGGTTCAAAGGCATTTTGTTGTAAATGGACCTCCTAAAAGATTTGACCTTTTTCACATGATGATTCATTCAATCTGGCTAAGAAGATTGAACATGAGAATTCATGATTGAGGATATATGGAGCATCTTCGGCACGCCCTCTATCGAACATGATTAAGGAAATGAGACGTGTCATCGGATATTTGTCTACTATCTTCTCTCTTCTTATACCCTTTAAGTAACTAACAAGTGCTGAATTTAAGTCAATTTCAAGAGAAATTTCTGTAGTTTTTGAAAAGCGCTCGACTTTGTGACTTCTGAAAAAGTTGAAAATGATCTTTAGTTAACGCAGTTGTAAAATATTTTCTAGACGAATCCATCGGCCAACGTTATCGGTAGCATAGTTTCTAAAAGAGTTATAGCAGCCCCTAAACCTTTTCAGTTATAGCACGTGAGCCCCAATCAAGTTTGAGGACCGCAACTGCAAATTCCTACCCCCTAAAAGAAATTTAAAATAAAAATTGTACGGTTCAAATATACTGCCTGAAGAGACCATATGAATAGGAATTTTACATAAGGCATATTGAATGCAGATGAGTATGTAAATGTTTCTTCAATTATTTATCATCAATATATTTTCTTGTATAATGACAATGGGAAGAGTCAAAGAGATCTAATTCTGTTCCCACAATCAAATGTTTGCAATTTCATCGGATGGAAATAGTGCTGGATTAGGGATGGCAAAAAAATTCGACAAACCAGATACAAGCAGGGCCCCGCCCCGAACGGGGCTGGGATAACCCGCTTAATCAGGTAACGAGGCGGGAAATTTTGCCCCGAGGCGAGGACTGGCAACGGGGGCCCCGCCCCGTTAAATTTTTATTTATTTATTTTTAGAATTCAATACTTTAAATGAAAATTTTCATTACTTCTAATAGAAAATAACAACTAAAATTATTTGTTTAAATCTAATGAATATAGGCAATAAAAATAAATTATATAAAAAAAATTTAAACGGAGAATAAATGGGGAAATGCTCCTTAAACAAGTAACGGGGCGGGGAGGGCCATCCCTGTGCTTGGACTTGTGGTACGAAAGTAATCGGGAAACTCTCGCAACTCAACAATATCGCTCGTCTCACATGTATAGGGGCTATGGTACCAAACCCCAATATCGTCGCTTGGAAAATGACTTTCTTCCATTATATGAAGCCAATCGACATTTTGAATGTTATCTATCATACTGTCAACACACACTTGATTATCTTCCACGGGCGAGTTCTTCCCCATCTCAATGGATTGAATCGTGCAGTAAACTTTATCATCCTGCATTTTTTCGTTCGCCTCATCGAGTAATTCCCCGAGCGTCATGGCATCAAATTCTATTATTTCTAGCTCTTCGAGTTCATCGATGGTGATTAGCGAAGATTGGGAATCAGTAGAAAAATTTAAAGCCATTTATTGACTATGGAAAGATGAATAAATCAAAATTATTGGGAAAGATTGAATAAAGAAATTTTTTTGAGTCTGTGTTAAAATTATTTTATGGGAGAATGTATGGTTGAAAATGAATGTTGAAAAAAATGAGTTTTTGAAAAAATGAGAGCCAAACATAGGCTAAGTAAAATTAAAATTGGGCGTAGTAGTCGAGTCTCTCTACTTTGGTATATTATTTAATTTATTTCAATAGATGTATGAATAATAAACAGAATGACAAAAATAAACTCATGTAATTAATTCAAATCTATTACTTAGAATCAGACATAATAAAAGTGGTAATCCTTTTACTTTTTATGAGAGATAAAATGCGAAAGCGAAATGTTTGGTCACATTTGGCAACTTATGCAGTTCAAAGGCAAAAAAATAATTGATGATATTAAACACGTTTTTAAAATTAACGCATTTTTTACTGTTCAAAAATGTGAAATCTCATTAAAATTTGATTTTAACGAGATTCAAATCGGCGCTAAATATTTGTGCTACAAGTATGTGTTCATACATGTACGAACGTATAGCTCATTTTTAAATAATTTTCGTTAATAATTTAATTGAATTAATACATGAATAAATCATAATTGATCAAACGAAAACGTGCTTGTGCAAAAGAAAAAGGGTAAATTGACATTTAGGATTCACGTGAAATGCTAACCTTATCACAAATGCAACTTGCGACAATTACATGAACCTAACAAAGATTCCTAGAACTAACACGAAACAAATGTGTTAGTGAGAGATTTGAAAATTACCTTCTCTACTCCAATTTCCTTTATTTAAGTGAAATAACTTTGTCCCACATCCTCTAGCTATTAAAAAGTGCACAAGAAGATCCAGTTATTGTTTTGTCACTGTAACAATTTTTTACATAGAGGAATCTTTATCTTTGACTCGTAGTGGTTTTTCTCCAGCTTTAAAATTTTCACGTAAATTCTTATGTTCTTGTTCGTGTTCTTATTCATTTTTTTTCTTCGTTCTTCTTAATGTTTTCTTTTAGGAGACTCTTGAAGACGAATCAAGAATTAGTCTAGATTCCCAACAAAAAGATGGGTTTCCAGTAAAGAAAAAAAATTTGGATCAAAAAAGTAAATATATCTCATACGATTAGATTAAAATTTGAATCCACATATATATTAACAAGAAAAAACATATATAGTTCACTTGTATGTCTTTCCACTACCACTAGTCCTTAAAATAGAATTTGAAGAAATCTGTCCAAATTGAAAATCAAACCTCTCGGTCTATTTTTCGCATTCTTCGAACAAATGACTCACTGTTTGGAGAAACCAAGACCATCGGAGTACTCAGCAGGTGAAGCACCATGCATGTGGCGCTTAACCGGAGTGGCATCGTATAAAGGCCATGTGTAGAACTCAGACAGTGCACGTGTGGGTTCATGGGCACGAATCTTAAGGTGGTTTCTTCATACAACTTGCTCCAGACGACAAGACGGGCTCTACAGTAGTATTCGTTTTCAATTTCGAGCAATACGATAAAATTTGGACAATTTTGCCCTTGCACGTTCGAGTGCTGAGTGGCATTGATTGGTTGCCACAGTTTCTGGAAGTTTTAGGGCGAATAGTAGTGGACATAAAGCAGTGAATTCACATCTATTCTCGTTTACGGACCCGTAGATGTGATCTATTCAATATCATGTTCTTTCTTTTTATTATTGCAGTTAAGGCTATCTTTTAGGGTGACCATTTACTTTTCGCATTAGAAGTCATCATGTAGGATGCCATTAGGTTTGAGGTTACCTTGTGGGGTAACCATTGCCTGTTGTTAGATCTAAGAATTATTTGTTAATTAATTGCCTTAAATTCTTTGTGAATTTGTTGTCAAATCTTTTCTACATTGTTAGAATGACATGTAGTATTAAGAAAGTTTGTTTAACTATTTCGTGTGAATTGTGTCTATGCTTGTGAACTCCGATTAATTTAACCTTGGTTGAACTTAAGTGAGCCTTCACTACAAGTCTACAACATGGGGCGGTTCCATTTCTAAACTTCTTGACTTAGATTGAGGTGTAGGTGCTGCTCTTATGAAGTGCCTATTAATCCTTGGTTCGACTATGACTACAACTCGGCTAAGTACCTCCTTTGCCATCCTATTTCAAGCTATATTTTCAGTCTTTTTCTTTGCCTTTCCAATGACCATTGCGTCTTACATTGCCAATATATCCATACCATGTTTGGTTGGTGGATCTCAAAGTACCGCAGGAATCAAACGTGAAATACGGTACCACAATCTTTAGTGTATCTTTCAAAAACTCATTAATTTGTGTTAGTGAGAGATTGGAAATTACCTTCTCTAGTCCAATTTCCTTTATTAAGTGAAATAACTTTGTCCCACATCCTCTAGCTATTAAAAAGTGCACAAGAAGATCCAGTTATTGTTTTGTCACTGTAACAATTTTTTACATAGAGGAATCTTTATCTTTTACTCGTAGTGGTTTTTCTCCAGCTTTAAAATTTTCACGTAAATTCTTATGTTCTTGTTTGTGTTATTATTCTTTTTTTTTTTCTTCGTTCTTCTTAATGTTTACTTTTAGGAGACTCTTGAAGACGAATCAAGAATTAGTCTTGATTCCCAACAAAAAGATGGGTTTCAAGTAAAAGAAAAACTTTTTGGATCAAAAAAGTAAGAGCATGTTTGGTTAAGCTTAAAATCTAATTAAAATTGAAAATATAGTCGTTATTGGGTCATACTCGTCTAATAAAAGTCAACAATAACAGCTAATTTTTCAATTTTAATCTGATTTTAATCTCTACCGAACACGCCCTAAATATTGAGACTCATACAATTAGATTGAAAATTGAATCCACGTATATATTAACAAGAAAAAATATATATAGTTCACTTGTATGTCTTTCCACTAGTCCTTAAAATAGAGGTGGGTACATAAAGTATCCATTAACTAAAAGAACTTGATGAGATAGTCAAGTCTAGGTTAATATGAGTGTGGCTTCTAGAGTGGGAAATGGGGAGGTCTAAACTATTATTACTTGAGGCAGTAAATTCAGAGATTAAATGATCATCTTCCTTTGTCATGTCTCCAGTTGAGCTTCCTTTAATTGTATCCTGCAATCATATAATACTCATCATGAACTTCTGATAAAAGTTCCCATCAACTATTTGACATTTAGTTGTCGACACACCGTTCAAGTTTTGTCATATTTCAATTTTCGTCCAAAAATCCGTTAACTAGTAGGCGATTTATCACAAAAGCTAGTGAACATAGTAAACACGATAGTCTTTACATCATTTGAGATGCATGCGACTAGCGAACGTGATATTTTGATAGAATCCATTGATAAGAATCCAAAAGCTACGAAAAAACTCAAATGATAAGAAAATTGATCGGAGATTAAAGTAAGTACTCATTTTGAATATAAATTATGACAATTAAGTTATTTGTACAATTCTTGTTGACAACTTTGATGTTGTCGAAATTCGGGGTCGTTGATTTAAAAACAGTTTTAATAGTTTTTAAATTGGATGAACATGATGCTGTCGGTGTGAAGTTGTTGATCAAAATTGTACAAGTAGCATGATTCAAATTATGAAGCGGAGGCAAGAACTTTTCTATTTCGTCCTATCACACTAAATATGCAGGAACTCCCATGCTCCTTTGATAAATCAAAATCAACAATTAATTTTAACCATATATTGCATTGGACCTACAACTTTTCAACCAAACATTTGATCTAGTATTATCAAAATCTATTAGAAATCCGATTTTAATCTTTACCAAATAGGGAATGTACTAAACAACATTTTAATTTTTTTTAATCGAAATTATCACCATGTCAAATTAAGACAAATATGGGGGAGTTACCTCGTAATCAAGGTGAAATGAATCATCTTTGTCTTGATTGGCAAGTATTTGCACCTTTTTGTTAGGTGGCCGTTCTCTTAATTCTTTGGAAATTTGTCTGCAAAATTGCTTCCACTGAATTAGAATCTATCAGAGAAATATGAATATTTTCCAGTACAAAATTAATGTTGACAAATTATAATCAATAAAAGAATACAATAGCAAATGCATTGTCACACACACAAAATTTACGCGATTCAAGAATATGCCTTTATTCATGGAGATAGATCCCAAAAGACAAGCCAAGTCAAGGGAAGGGAAGAAAAAAGGAATATAATTAATCGAGCCTCGAGTCTTGGGCAACCTAACAACAAGAGCCTATCTCGCATATCATTATGGACTCCCTCCAATATTGATTACATTAATGCTGGTCGGCCAGGGTCACTAACCAGGGGGCTGAGCCCCTAATTTGAAAAAAAAGGGCCCCACATGAATTCAAATCAAGGGCCGATGCATCCACCTCGGCCCCTAGATTTGGCCCTGGATGAGCAGCATTGCTCTATTGGTTAAGATAGAAAGCTCATATCTAAATAAAAATCAACAATTAGTTTTAATCATATATTTTGTGGGATCCATAATTATTCATCAATTTCTATCAAAATTTATTAAAAATCTAATTTTAATCCCCATCAAATGGGGGCATAATCATTCTTTCTTTTCAAATTCATTTTCTACCGCACATTCTCCCAATAATATATTTTACACGTAAACTCAAATTTTTTTTCTACTTGTTAATCTTACATTTTAAACAAATTCACTATTACAAAATTCATTAAAAAAAAAAAGGGCCCGTACATAGGTTATAGTAGTCCTAGTAAAACTAATCACAAGCATGATCCATTGACTATAATTACAACTATCATCAAACTCTACAAATTGCAATGAGAATCACACTAGGGGAAATTGCACGAGATCAATCAAACTCTACAAATTGTAATGACTAGGGGAAATTGCACGAAGACAGGTGTCCCCACGTAATTGACTAACGCGGACATATCCCCCTGTATGGACCCCTGCAATTTCCCATGTACATGGGGAAATTTCCTTCTAATAAATCTTGAAGGTCAGTACACGATATTCCTTGAAAGTTTAGTGACAACGCATGCTTTTAAACGACACTAATTAAAAGATTTTTACATAATAACTTCAAAGAATCTTAACAATATATATGTGAGTGTGTGTGTATGCGTTATTATTATTAATTTTTTTTTTTACGTAGGAACCCGCAGCCGCTACCCGCCACAAAGCCTCGACCACCCCAAAGGGGTGGAGGCCCGACTACTGTGAGTGCGCACTAAGTAAACCTCGCTCCATGTGCAATAGCCCGCAAATCACAAAGCAGAGATAAACAATACTAGGCAAGCCCGGTGCGACGGGCTCGACCTAGGAAGCGTTGGCAGAGGATTCAAACTCGTGACCTTTGGTCTCCGCGTTCACCTGCTCCACCAACTCGACCACCCCCGAAGGGTTATATTATTATTATTATTAGTATTTATATATTGTGCTTACCGTAGTGGGAACCAAGTTGTGTTCTCTTTATGGTAGTTCTCCATAGTTATAACTATGTTCAAAGAGGTGGCTCCATTCATTCTTCTGTACATCTGATCACAGAATTTAAGTAAACTATAATTAGTAAAATCTAAGCCCAAAAGCAATGAATAAGTAAATATGCATACTGTTATCACGTTGGCTAAGCTTAAAAACATGTTTAAAAACAAGAAAATAGTTAGATGTTAAGTTATACTTTTGTCAAACATGCTTTCCAATTGTGAAGTTACCGTTGGATACAAGATCCATTGACTGTTTACATGTTTTAAGGCTCAAGTGGATTGTGGACCGTTGATATGTGAGACTTTCATCTCAGCCATAGATGGGCATATAAATTAGAGATGCTTCTCTCATTTGTTAGGGTTATTATTATTAGAACTCATTCCTTAGAAGTCATACTTTATGACTTTTGATGAAATGGATGGCATTGACTATATATTTTTTTTATGTCTCTCAGAACTTTAAACTCTACGAAGGGTTTATTTTATTATTAATTTTAACAATGGTCAACCCTAATTCCCAATCTAATTAAATAATGTTATTTATTATCACGATAATAAATTATCGGTGGTGATTGAACAATTCAATTTATATCAGGGAGAGAAGAGATAGGGAGAAGTGTGAGAGATAATGAGTTGTCACATCACATATAATTTATCACCATGACGATAAATAACATTACTCAGCCTATTTACCCATCTAGGCTTGATACATTATAATTAGAACAATACTACTGTTACAGAAAAAAATTCTGTAAAAATAACGGAACACACACATGGGGGTGGGCCCCATTTTGTAGAATAATATTTTATTCGCATGGGGCCCACCCCCATATGAGTATTCTGACATTTTTACAGATGAAATAGTTCTATACAAGTTGTTTAATTGTTATAATTATGTGTGTATTGCTAGTTTGTAGAGGAACCATCCTATTACTAAGCATAGTTAGGGACAGATCAAGAAAACATTTTTAATATGTTAAGAATGTAGTTCTTCTCTTTCTCACAAGTCACAAACTTATATTTGTTGCATGTCGATCCACGATCCATGTTTCATCTTCGATTCTGTTTCGTTTTGGCCTATTTCGAGAACTCTATTAATCAATTATTCAATATTCTTGTACATGAAGACACCCAAAAATGACATAGATCTCGTCTAGATGCGTGAGTTAATTTGTCAATTAAGTTTATTTATTGTGAAAAGAAGGAAAACTGATATTTTATTTCAATTATAAGTATTCATATTGCAAATTTATGCCTCACTTTCATCTGGATATTAATCAATACACTCCGTCCAGATTAGGGTTGCGTGAATCGCTACGAATGACTGATTGAATCGAAACTTGAAAAAAAAGTTTATTGTTGTTCTTTACAGTATCTAGACCCCTTTTGTTTCTTATTTTCCATCGAAAAATATGATCGTTATCCGTCAGATCAAGCCATCTCTTGTGTGCACAATAATGACTATATTTTTCATTCTCGTTCTACAATAATAAGAATCCAACGGGCCCTAATCTTACGTGCCAAACACGAACTTATCTGGTAAAACACATATATACCTGGAGATGGCTCTTGATGTGGGAGATCTTCAGTCCTTTGACAGGCATCATTTGCAAAATTCGTTTTGGAGTTGCTACTGTAAAATCAAAACTTCAGTTATAATTCTCTCTTTTCCTATAAAAAAAAGGGGTAGGTGTCAACGTCAAGAACCCTACATCTCCGCTCGTAGTAATGGACCATGACTATGAGCGGAGATCATGGACACACAGATATAGAAGTTGAAACTTACTGTCTTTTCCACCAAGATATTGAACAGCTTCAACAAAGTGGCGATGAAGCTCAGGCGTCCACCGGAATCGCGGAAGGTCTGATTTTCTGTATTTCCTTACCTTATTTCTATCAAAAAATTCCATTCTCATTTCTTGAATTAGACATAAAAATGTCTGACAAATATAATGGCTTGTGGCCGCAAAAAATCAATGAATGTTTGACTTTTATTACTGGTGTGCGGACTTTTGAATTTACCAATTTTGTAAATTCAGAACACCAAAAGAAAAGAATTGTTTATAAAAGGTTTAAGTGCTTGTTTGGTAGGGATTTTTAGAAGAAAAATTGATTTTGAATAGTGATCTGATGGGAAATTTGTGGTTGAAAAAGAAGAAAAAATTATTGATGTGATAAAAAATATTATTTTATTGAAAAATGTGTGATTAAAAATGAGAATGAAAATCAATTCTCAAAATCAGAAACAAACACCCCCCTAAATAAAAAAAATAAAAAATGAGTAATGTATAAATAAGTAATATTTATGGATCTTACTATATAAAATGATTAAAAGTGAGTTTGAGCAATTATAGAAGTGCCAAACAAGCGCCAATTTAAGCATTTGTTTGCCTTTATATAAATTTAATGCACTCGTAGGTATTCTACACTTTCCTCTCGCTGGACAATTTAAGAAATAAAAGTCTAGTGTGTGGACTTTGGAATTAACATATTCAAACTCCTTTAAATGGTATGTACAGAGAAGAATCAGGCTTGGTGTTCAATTATGGACGACAACTTTATTTACAGAATGTAAATGATATCATGTTATTGAACAGTTTTAACAAAATGTTATTTTTACCGTCGTTATTTTCTACCAACATACCAATTGTCAATAACCTCGTATTTGATCTATATTCGTCTCAAAATTCATTCTTTCAAAACTCATTTACAACCACACATTCTTCAAAAAAATAATATTACACGCAAATTCAAATTTTTTTTCTTATTTTTTAATCACATATTTTTCATCAAATCACGTTATAAAATGCATTCTTTTCTAAAAATGTTCATCAAACACCCCCTAAAATTGTCATACATAATTGTATAAATAACATTATTGACTAGTAAATATCAAGTTTTTCATTTTGATTGACAAATAAGACCTTTTTATGGTAAATCACGAAAACTGTCCACTAGAAATTCGAGTGCAAGTTGGAGGTCCACTTAAATTGAAGGCCCACTCTAATTTTTCCAATGAAGAAAGTACTTAAATTAAGTTTTCTCCCAATGAACATCTTCTATGCCACCTCGATGATACTGACAGGTGACAACTATCAACCTTATGAATTGTGAGTTGTGACTCGTCAAAAAAAAGAATAATTCTACTTGTACAATCGAGATTGACAGTCTCTCATATGTGTGCGGGGTCCACATGTTTAAAAAAATTTTTTTTAAAAAAAAGTGGACCCCTCCCATATGAGTGGTTGTCAATCGAGGTTGTCAACTTCAGTTGTACAACTAACATGGTCCTCAAAAAAATCACCCTACTATCCCTGTATAACTTCTTTTATTTCAAAACTTTTTTATATACTCATTTTCAATCGCTTATTCGCAAAATCAAATATTTTGTACGTAAATTTAAAATTCTTTTTTGCTTTTTAATCATGTATATTCTAAAATTTCGCCAAAATAATGAAAATTTCAAATAACAGCCATCAAAGAAGACAAAGAAGAACAACTACAAGAATTCAATAATTTCTTTATCATTGCATTTTATAACTCTTTAAGCCCCTGTTTGACGCACATGCTTCAAAAATATATTCTTTCAAAACTCATTTTCAATCACACGTTCTTCAATAAAATAATATTTTTCATCACATCAGTAACTTTTTCTTACTTTTTAATAACATATTTCACATCAAATCACTATTTAAAATACATTTTCTTCTCAATATCTATCAAACACACCCATAGTACATATAACCATTTAGAAACATAGTAATGGAAATATTGGTTCTAGATTTGGTCATAACTTTGAATATTTAGTCCTTGTTTGGTTTGGATCAAAATTAGAATTTTTGTACATTTTAATAAAAATTGATAAAATATGATTAAAAAGTCGCAATCCCAAAAAATATGATTGAAAAATGAAATTTATAATAAATGAGGGCCAAATCGTGACTTAATAAAGTGGTGATATTTTCAATGGGGTCCATCATTTTCTAGTTTCGATGATCATGTTGCTTTTAAGCATTTTTTCTATTACAACCAAACATGTTTTTTCATATTTAGAAACTAGGTGTCCATCAATATATCAAGCTCGAAGAAATGTCCAATATAATTCATTAACATACATAATACATATACAGAAAGTATCTTTCCTTCTTTGTACAAATAGAGTCGAAATTTGTTGTCTTTTCAATATATTTTTTATGTCTCGATGCATATATCTTGTTGAAAATGGAAAGACGTCAAAAAAAAAAGAATTGTTAGCATTTTTTCATTTACTAAGAAGATGTGATGTATGACAACCAAGGAAACATAAAGTTCGAGATACCAAATGGGTTCGTGCAAATCAGTAACAAGTGAAAATTGCGATCGAGATAAGATTCGTTGTCCAAATCTGACTATTCTTTAAATTATATTCAAACTATATTTTTTACAATATCATCTCTGGTTAGCAAATAAAAAGACGTCATTTAAAAAATTATGTCAATGCACTATGTAATCATTTGTTAAAAATTTAGCCAATCAGAGTGTGTCTCAACACTTAAGTTTGATTTTTCATCTCGCAGCTTTGACTTAAATAAAGTGCTTGTTTGGATTCCATTACAAGTTAATTGAAATTATATTGCGATAGAAGTGAGTGATACATAAGTGAATAATAATTACGGATCTTACAAAATGTGTAATTTAAGGACGTGTTCGGTAGAGATTACAATCGGATTAAAATTGAAAAATTCGCCGTTATTGTAGACTTTTATTAGACGAGTGGGATCCAATAACGGCTATATTTTCAATTTTATTTGAATTTTAAGCTTAGCCAAACATGCTCTAAATTTTAAGTAACCTATTATTATCGTGTGTTTGGGCATAAGAATATAAAAATGAGAAGAACGATGGATCCCATGAAATGTGTGGTGGGGTTACAAACACAATTTAGACGGCACATTTAGAGCCACCTAAACTGTGTTTGTAACCTCAGTGGGATGAATAACATTACTCGAAAATCATAAAGGGATAATAAGTGGATGGTAATTATAAATGTGGTTAAAATTAAAATTTAACTGAAAATTATGAATAACTTATCCTCCATTTGGTAGAGATTAAAATTAGATTTTAATAAAAGTTGATAAAATATGTGACAGAAAAATTGTGGATCCAACAAAATATGTGAATAAAATTAATTGTTAATTTTAACTTAATTTCACCAAACAGGGTGAAACGCAAACAAGCATAACACGTGCGAATATAATATATACATAAATAAAAAGATAGCGCAAAAAGGCAACTCTTTTTCCATCACTATCAGACGGTGCCTACTTTTGTTCCCATTTTCCTATTTTATATGCCGCTGGTTCAATGGCAGAGATGGAAAGGCAAACCCTAGAATTTTAAGAGAGAAAACGTGTTTTTTGAATTTTTGCTTGCTGGCTCAATTTCCATCACATATATTTTTGATCAATTTCAAACATACATGGTACTTCACGTCAACCTGTTGACTAGCCATCCGGAGTAGACCCAATCCAGCTTTCTTTGTTAGGCATCGCGTAGGTGTAGTCCGTCAAATTTGTTGCCTCGCCGCCTCACTCGCTTGGCCAAAATTCTTCCTCATATTTAGGACTGTCCGTGGGTCGATTCGGTTCG